GCGAAGGCGAGAGAGCCACAAGTTGAAAACGATTGGCCCTCCCGCCGTGTAGCTGTGCAGAGCTTTTCGGCACGAGGACGGTAATATGTAAGAGAATCTGCAGGGAGACACCCGGCCTTGCCTACTGACACTCCTCGTGGTGCAACACGGGGAGTTGGTTCGAGGAAGATGTATGGAGGAATCGAAAAGAGAGAGTGAGCCGGAGGAGGAGGAAGGCGGAGGAGGAGGGCCATTGAGAGGCGGTAGATTATTATGAAGAGTTTGTCGTGAAGAGGAGGAGGACGACGATGATGAAGACGAGGACGAAGTCGAGAAGGACTAAGGAGCAGGAGGAAGGCGAGGCAAGTGCGAAGGGTGAGGGAAGATGTCGCTGCCGGGCGTCGTCAGCCGCCGTCGGGCCACGCCGCAAATCACAATGGGATGCGTGCCTCAGTTTCCCCGGGAACAGCTTAATTGCATAAAACAGCGCATACTTGCGGAGGATGTGCTGCAGACTGCAGACTGGGGCCTTGCCTGCCAGCAGTGGTCCAGGGGAGGCATTCAAGGGTTCAGCCTCTTAGGGGCAGCCCTGATCCAGCATCTCAGCCCCAGTCTTTCAGCGGTGTCTCGGATACAGCCATTTAGTTTCGTGGTCAGTGGTTTCGGGGCCCGAATCAGCGGCCACGCGAGTCTCTGGACAGCTATGCCTGGCAACACGTTGCGGGCAACGCAGACGGAGATCATGCTCCTCGAGCCAGCCAGTCCAGCCACGGGTCATGTCAGCTGCTACCATGTGTGGTATGTCCGGTGGTCGCCACTGCTAGTCACTTGCATGCAGAGGATGAGGCGGGGGTGGAACGGCTTTCAGTGCTGCCGCTGCGGGTGAGCGTTTTTTGATTCATTCGTCTGCCGATCGGCGCGGGCCCTCGCTCCCCCCCCTCACCCCCCCCGTGGAGTAGATCTTGGCTGTTTTTTGGCGCCTGCTTCGAGCAGGTGGAGCCTCCCCCCATTGGACGCACGGTCCCGAGCAGTCGCGCTCAGCAAACGTCCGGAGCCAGACCCCGGCCCCCCTCTCCCCCCCCTTCCGCCCAATGTCGAGACGCCGAGCAAAAAAAACGCTCACCAGCACCCCGACTGACGACTCTCGCTGCGCTGGGCAGGAGGAGGAGGAGAGGAGCCAAGCGATGCGCTTCCATGACTGCCCCTTGACTCGGAGGCCGTCCCTGCCAACGGCCGAGGAGAGCGTCTACCGCCTATGACCTGCGGGCGCCCGCGCCTCCCCCAACCACATCCCCCCCGCGCGCTCACGGCAAGCCTCTCTCGCCCCCCCTCTTCTCTACCCACCCCTCATTACCATTATCGTAATAGCTCTCTTGGGTCCCCCCCTCTTCTTTCTCAGGCCATGTCCCCGCCGCCGTGCTCATCGCACGCCTGGCGTCGCCGTGGCATGGCCTTTCCCTCCTACCCTGACGGAGTATCCGTCGAGATTGCCCCCGCGGCGTCCTCGCCTCTTCGCTTGCCATTCTGTCACAGTTTGCCACGAGTCGCCTCAATTGTTTCTGCTCCCCTTTCTCCCCCCCTCTGAACAGGAAGGTCGTGGGGGTCGGATTGTAGCAGTTCCCTCCGGCACGTCATGAAGCACGTTGTCGCAGTGTTGCGCCGAGACAGCCAGCTTAAGTTGGCGTGTCCTTTAGGATTGGAATGTTAGGAAGGAAGCAAGAATTAGGACCGTTGCCGCTAGGAGGAGGAGGAGGAGGAGGAGGAGGACGACGACGACGACGACGACGTGGACTCCGTCGCCCTGCACACATTCCGATCGCGACTGCATCGCCAAAGCATCGTCCTGCGCCCCCCCGCTCGCGCGCACCTCGCCGTGCACTTGCCGCTGCATCTCGGAAGCTGGGCGAGGGCTGGCAAATCCGTGGCTGCTAAAACAGTTTTCCCAGAAGAAAAAACGAATTCCAGGAATCAAGTTCAGCGCGCTAAATAGTAAACGAGCCGTTTCCCAGAAGAAAGAAACAATTTCCTGGAGTTTCGTTTTAGCAGCTACGGGTTTGCAAGCCTTCGCATGGCTTCTGAGCATCTCCGCTGGGATCGCCGCCTCGCGCAGTCGATCGCGGTCGAGGCGGTCGGAATCGCCGCACGAGGGCCCGGCTGCGGTGTGCTGGAGGCGGGGAGGGCTCGGAGATGACGACGCCGACGTGGAATCGGAGGGCGGCGAAGAGAAGATGGATTTGGGGGGGGGGGCGACTCGACGCGGGCACTGCGGCAGCGCGCTCTGCGTGGCCAGCAGCGCCGCCCAGTGGGGCAGCAGTGAGAGCGAGGCTTCCGGGAGGCTCCCGGAAGAGCTCCCGGGAGCGACGGCCTGGCGCGGGAGGTCAGGGCGCTGGCCTCGCGAAGCCAGCCGGCCTGGGCCGCGGTGCTGGGCCAGGAGCGAGGGGTGGGGGGGGAGGCAACCAAAGGGATAAAGATGGTATGCGGTCCTCCTCCTCCCGCCCCTCCTCCTCGTCCTCCTCCAGAGGGAGGGAGCTGAGATCCTGGCCCTCGGAGCGGCAGCATGTCTCGGGCGGCGGTTGGTCCGAGGATTCCGTGGGTCCAGCGCAGCCTTTGTTAAGGGCCTCGGTTCTGTCAGAGCACGTCAAGGCAGTTCTGAGCAATGCGAGGCAGTGCAGTGCAGTGCAAGGCAAATATTTGGGTTTGGTTGGCATTAATTCGGCTTTGCTTGACACTCTTGGGCGTTGCGCTGCATTGCTTGGATTCGTTGCTTGTTATTGATTGGCATTGATTATGTTTTGCTTTTGATGTGATTGGCATTGCGTTGCAGCGCTTGGCACTTATTCGCACTGCTTTGTTGCATCGTTGTTACATTACTTGACGTTGCTTGGCATTGCTTGGCATCGCTGCTTTGCATGGCTTGGCATTGATTGGCATTGCTCGGTATTGACTTGCAGTGCTTGGTGCTGGTTAACACTGCGTGGCGCTGCTTGGCATGGCTTGGAACTGATTGCCACTGTGTGGCAGTGCTTGGCATTGCTTGGCGTGGTTCGGCACTGCTCGGGAACGTTGCACGGAACTGCTACTTGGAAGTCGTCGTCATCATGATGAGGACGACGACGAGGAGGAGGAGAGGGAGGAGGACGACGACGACGACGAGGCATGGAAGTGTTGCTTGGAACTGCTACTTGGAGCCCTTGCTGGGCACTGCTTGGCGCTGCTTGATGGCAACCCCCGAGGAGCCCTGGGCAGCACGCCAGGAACGCCGAGGAGCGCCGAGGGGAGCCCCGGGCAACAACGCCGAAGGCCTCGTCCGACGAAGGGCCCCGCACCCACGGGCTTCGCTCTCACGAACAGAAGAAAACCTTTGTAGGCAAGGCCCTCCAGTGAGAAAACAGGGCGACTCGAGCGCTCATGAGATCATCGTTTTCTGATTCATTGTTTTGCCGATCGGCGCGGGTCCTCGCACCCCCAACCCCAACCCCCCGTGGAGTAGATCGTGGCTGCTTTTTTTGGCGCCTGGTTCGAGCAGGCGGAGTCTCCCCCGCAGGACGCACTGTTGCAAACAGTCGCATTTAGCAGAGGTCCAGAGCCAGACCCCCCCCCCCCATTCCGCCCAACCTCGAAACGCCGAATAAGAAAACATTCGCATGAACGTCGCGGGCGTGACGAGCTCTGGCGCTGAGCGGAAGCACCCTTAAATTGTGGGGGAGGGCGCACCAGCATCGTCTCTTCATCACCATCACCACCATCATCATCATCATCATCATCATCATCATCATTATCATCATCATCATCATCATCATCATCATCATCATCATCATCATCATCATCATCATCATCATCATCGCCATCATCATCACCCTCATCATCATCATCAGCAGCAGCAGCATCATCAGCATCATCATCATCATCATCATCGTCATCATCATCGTCATCATCATCATCATCATCACCATCAGCCGTCTTCCGAAGCATGTTGTGGTTAGCCTTTTCAGGGATTTTGGGTAGAACGTCAGGGGCTTCGGAATTCAGGACCACGGGTTGCACCTCGGGATCTTCCTGGGCTTCAGTGGACACGACATCTTCTGGCTAACCTCGTCCGAAAAACTGAGGCAACGTGGTCACCATGTACTTTATACTGCCCTCGGCCCTGTGAGGAACTGACGGCATACAACTTGTTGGTGCACGTTGTGCCCAGCCACGTGCAGTTCTTTTCGCCGATCAGATCCGTGTTCAGTGTAGCGCGAGCGGCACATCAATTCTCACAGCCGCTCCCAGCTTCGTCATCCCAGCCACCGTGCTCGTGAGTTTAGATATCATCGGCCTCCCCAAGATCAGAAGATTGGAAATTGACGCTAGGGCTGCGATGCTGCAGTGCGCTCAGAAGTCGGCTACGTTTCATCGTGAATTGGAAAGTTTTGAGGATACTATCAGAGATGACCCCGAACACTGCGCGGTTTTCGATCACCTCCCAGAACTCTGCGTTTGACCGGATGCGCCTGCATTACCGTGCCATCATTGTTATGCCCAATGTGTTTGATACCATACGTATGGATATCCAGCGTATGGTCTCATCCTTCCTCTCCTCGACCTTCCCTGCCCCCTCCTCTGTCCCGCTCTTTCGTCGCCTCCAGCACTTTGTGCACGATGCGTCCACAGGCGACCCTGACCATTGCATGATTGAACTCGGGGGTATCAGTTTGGCAGTTCTTCGGAGTATGCGCCATGCGTGGTGCACGTTCCGTCGCTTTCGCCAAGGATGTCAAACGTGCCGCGCAGCTTTTGTGCCGCGGGGGGTGATGATATCTTTGTCTTGTTCTTGTTGCCGCCGTTGCCTCTCATTTACGCTCCCTGCCGCCTCAGTGGTCGGAGCTAGACCCTTAGCTTCGTACATTGCAGTCTCGCTCGCGTGCGCCTTCGAGCGGCAGCCTGCTCTCTACCGCCGCCTTCCACGATCTTGCGCCGCCTGCCTTTCATCAAGTTCGCTCAGATGCCAAGGTGTCCAGCAGCGCAGCTCGGAAAGCTGTGGACGCCAGAGCCCGCCTGCTCGCCGAGCGACCGACCGCGCTTCGAGCTAGAAGCACAGTGGCCCGCAGCTACGGAAATTCTCATCATCACCACCATCACCATCATCATTGTTGTCACTGGAATCATCAGCAGCAGCATCATCAGCATCATCCTCATCATTAGCATCATCAGCATCATCATCATCATGAGCAGCATCATCACCTAATCACCAGCACATCACCCGCATAATCAGCATCATCAGCATCATCATCATCATCCTCATCATCACCACCGTCACCATCGTCATCATCATACTGTTCATCACCATCAGCAGCATCATCGTCACTCTCAGCATCATCAATATCATCATCAGCATGATCATCACCATCATCATCATCGTCATCGTCCTCGTCATCATCATCACCACCAGCAGCAGCATTGTCATCATCAGCATCAGCATCCTCGTCACCGTCATCATCATCAGCAGCATCAGCATCGTCATCATCAACATCCTCGTCATCGTCGTCGCCATCATACTCATCATCATCACCAGCATATGAATCATCATCACCCATGTCCTCGTGAGAGCCGACCTTCACCACCACCACCACCTCTTCCTCCTCCTCCTCCTCCTCCTCCTCCTGTCTCCCCTGTCGCAGTTTCAGCGCTGCCGCCGCTACCCGACGTCGGATGCGCGTTGCCGTCAGCATTGTCAGATCACCCGTACCATGTTCGCCATCAGCAGCAGCAGCATCATCAGAATCATCAACATCTTCGTCATAGCAATCATCACCATCATCCTCATCATCCTCATCACCTTCAGCTTTATCATCATCATCATCATCATCCTCATCATCATCACCATCATCACCAGCATCATCATTATCATCCGCCTCCTCCAGTCCTCGATCCCTTCTCTTTCTAAATTATTCCTCCCTGTCACACCTCGAGGCCAGTCGGAAGGGCGGGCTGGGCGCTTCGCTTGGATCTTCCTCACCATTTATAATCTTGAAGCTTGAATATTGGCAAGAGCTTGACAGATGGAGGGCGTGTGGTTTTCAAAAGGTGGCTCTCGCCTTAGTGCCGCGCACGCTCGCTCTGAAACATTGCAAACTCGTTCTGGAAATTGCACGAACTTCACGGGTTGAGGGTGGCTCCTTTTTCAAAATGTGGTTCTCGTTTTACCACCGCGGTCACTCGTCTTAAACATTTGCAGGGTTCCACGGATTTCCGTGATTAGCGTACCAGAAATCGCGTTTTGGAGCGATTCAGGGCTTTCAGAGCGCAACAGTTACGTTGAGTCGTGCTGCTGCAGTCCCAGGAATGGTGTTTGGATACGATTCAGGATCGCCAAGACGCAACAATCAGGTTGATGCGTGGCGGTGAACTTCAGAGGATGGTGTTTTGGCACGTTTCAGGAGTGTCTACCCGTTGCCTCCCAACGGAGCACTTCTCTAGTGGAAATGAGTCCTTGTTGGGGGGCCTATGAGGAGGGAGCGTGCAAGGGGGGGTATTCCAACGTCGTTGATGACTTTAGGAGGAGGAGGAGGAGGAGGAGGAGGAGGAGGAGGACCTCCTCCTTTTCCTCGCGTCAGGCCTCGGCGCGTCGCATGGGTCGCCGAAGGCCCCGCGCGCACCGACCGTGCACCGACCGCATACGGGCGCACGAGGCGCCAGCGCGCGAGCCCACGCGCGCGAGAGCCCACGCGCACACAGGCCGCACGTGATCGCACAGGGGGGACGGCGCGGGGGAGGAGGAGGAGGAGGAGGAGGAGGAGGAGGAGGAGGAGGAGGAGGAGGAGGAGGAGGAGGAGGAGGAGGAGGAGGAGGAGGGGGAGGAGGGGGAGGAGGAGGAGACGGAGGAGGAGGAAGTGGAGAAGGAGGAGGAGGAGGAGGAGGAGGAGGGGCGGATGGCGTGCGTCCGATCCAACATGCATGGGAGGGAATTGAAGACGGCTGGGGTTCTGAGGTGGCCCGGCAGTGGTTCCCGCGAGCAGGAAGGGGTGGGGGGGGGTCGGGCCAGGTGCCAGGGTTTGGGTTCGAGGGGAATTTGAGTTTTTTCGGTCCCAGTGGGCCGCGTTAGCGCCCCAGGACCGTCAGAAACGGATCCAGGGTAAATATCTGCATCAGATGGAACCCAGGAGGGGGGCCGATTTTGAGCGGACTTGCCTTCATCCCCCCTTCTTGACTGATTTTCTCGAGGTGTATTTCAGACACCCTGGCCGCTTCCAAGCGGAAAACTAGAAGGAGGACAAGGGAGAGGGAGGGAGGACGAGGAGGAGGAGGAGGAGGAGGAGGAGATCACCTCGCGAATTCGACCAGCAGTGCTAGCTTCGGCCAAAAGGCGAGCCTCAGCCCAGTACGAGGTCGCGCCCGGCACAGAGCGTTGGAGCGCCTGGCGTCTGGGGCAAAGTGCCGCAACACCGAGAATCGCAACACCTGCTCGGCAAGGTTGCAGCGTGCTTATGCCAAGCATCCCCGCCAGGCAGGGGATCCCCGAGGCCATCCTTTTTCGCCCCTCCTCCTCCCGTCCGCCTCCCGCACTCATCCTCCTTCTCCTCCTCCTCCTCATCCTCTTCCTCCTCCTCCTTCTCCTCCTCGTTCTCCTCCTCCTACTCCTCTTTCCTCCTCCTCCTCCTCCTCCTCCTCCTCCTACCTCCTCCTCCTCCTCCTCCTCCTCCTTCTCCTCCTCCTCCTCCTCCTCCTCTCCTCCTCCTCCCTCTCCTCCTCCTTTCCTCTGCTTCTCCTCCTCCTTCCTCCTCCTCCTCCTCCTCCTCCCCCTTCTCCTCCTCTCCTCCTCCTCCCTCCTCTCCTCCTCCTCCTCCTCTCCTCCTCCTCCTCCTCCTCTCCTCCTTCTCCTCCTCCTCCTCCTTCTCCTCCTCCTCCTCCTCCTCCTCCTCCACCTCCTCCTCCTCCTCGGTCGACGCTTGCACTCGATCGTGCTTATCCTCGCCTCCGAAGGGGGGGAGAAGAAGGGGGGAGGAGGGGCATGAGCAAGCGAGGAGAGAGTGAAAGGGACGGGGGAGAGGGACGAAGCTGGAGGAAGGAGGTGCGGCGGAAGTCGGCGACTACAAAGGTTATGGCAACGGCAGGATGTGGTTTGCGGTCGGCACCGCTGGGCCCTTCGGAGCACGACACTATGATCGTTGGGCCTCCTCGGGGTGCGGCGGAGAGCTCTGTCGAAGTCCTTTCCCGCCCCCCAGGGTGCCCCCCAGAGTGCCAGTTGTAAAGCACACCCTTTACAAATTCCACCCTTCAGAGTCGCCGAAGGAGGAGGAGCAGACGGAGGAGACGGAAGGGAAGGAGGAAGCTTGGATGTTGTTCCGCTTCTGGAGGTCCGCGTCGGGCCCCAGGCTGGTCAAACATTTATCCGGGATGAAGAATCGATTGGGGTGGACCTTGGGAGGGGTCCAGACACCGAATTGGAGTTCGAGTGATTCCGAGGGGACGGATGAGGAGCTTCAGGTGCATGGCATTATCGCGGTGTGGGCATAGCGTCGCACGACTTTGGATCCGTCCAAAGAGACAGCGTTCATGACGGTCGCGTTTGAGGCAGCGTTTCAGCCACTGGTCCACACGCGGGAATCGCTTGTCAAGCTCACGGGTGGGTACGTCTTTGGGGAACATGTTCGTTGCAGTTGGCAGTGTGTAGCGTGTCTCCCGGTTTTCTGCACACCGAGTCTAGCACGTTTGTTTTTGCAGGTTGAGTGCGAATACCGCCGCGCCAGTGAGCGACATTCCCCGCCCGTCCCCCTTACCTCCGCCTCTTCGTCCAGGAACTGTTGCAAATCTTCCGAAACTGGCACGCAGCGAAAGAAATTGTCTTGTGGTAGCCGGCGAGGGCAGATGCATCGCTGCGTTGGTGCGGCGGCTTGCTTGTGGGGCCATCAATGTACTTGTTTGCCCCGGGCGCTGGCTATCCCAAAAAGGGCATGACCTCGGGGTCCACCTCACAGGCACGGTGAGGTAGCCATTGGATTGATTAGAGTGTGAACCCGGTGCCGTCTACCTTGGAGTCCGCAGGAGAAACACACAAAAAAACGTCCCAGCACACAAACCCACAACACGTCCTGCCTCTCCCTCCCCCCTCCGCGCCTCTCCCCGAGCCCCTCCGGGACGTGACCAACCCGTAGACTTGCAAAACCCCCAGACCCAAGCGTCGTCGCGATCCTGCTCGCAGCGCAGCCCGCCGGGAGGTCTGCACCACCCCTCTCCCCTAGGGGCCCCAGGAGCAGCAGCCCCCAGGGGAGGCCGAGAGATCGAGCAGAGTTTCGGGTTTCATGTCGTCGGGCTTCTGAGGCTTCTTCTCCTCCTCCTCCTCCTCCTCCTCCTCCTCTCCTCCTCCTCCTCCTCCTCCTCCTCCTCCTCCTCCTCCTCCTCCTCCCTCCTCCTCCTCCTCTTCTCTTCTCCTCCTCCTTCCTCGTCCATCTCTCCCCCTCCTCCACCTCCTCCTCCTCCTCCACCTCCTCCTCGTCCTCGGGTCGCCTACGGTCCCGGGGGAAACCGTGCACCCATGACTCCCTCCCTTTCATTTTGCCTCCTCCTCGCCCAGAGAAGACTTCGGGGGGCCTCCGGAAGGTTGGCGTGCCACTGCCGTCTGCGCCGTGATTCTCTCAAGAATTCTTCCGCGGCTCCCGGCGTGTTTTTCCTCCCCCCTCCTCCTCCTCCTGCTCCTCCTCATTCTCCTCCTCCTCCTTCTCGTCCTCCTCCTCCTCCTCCTCCTCCTCCTCCTCCTCCTCCTCCTCCTGACCTTCCTGTGGACGCGTTCCGACCAGAAGACCCTGGCGAGAATCCAGCCGCGGCGACGAGGAGCCTGCAGGAGGCCCCCGAGCGGACTGGCCAAGTAAACGAACAAGATCAAACTCAAGAACGGCGCCGCCGTCGCAGCACAGTTTCTCGGGTGTCTGCGGCCGTCCTGCGCCCCGAGGATCACGAGCTCTGAGCGCGCGCGAACATTTTACCCTGATACGGTAGGTTCGTGTCGTGTCGACCGGCGGCGACCCCGCCGACGGCGTTC